GAATAAATAAAGGGGATGTAAATAGTGTGCTGAAAATATCTAGCCTAGACAGGACTCGCAGCAATGGTTTTAAGTTGGAAAAATTCAGATTCAGGAAGGATACAGGAAAGTACTGGTTTGGTAATAGAGTTGTGGATGAGTGGAACAAACTCCCCAAGTACCGTTATAGAGGCCAGAACGTTGTGTAGCTTTAAAAATAGGTTGGATAAATACATGAGTAGATGTGGGTGGGTGTGAGTTAGACCTGATAGCTTGTGCTAACAGGTCGGTTGCCGTGTTCCTCCCTTAAGTCAATGTGACCTGACCTGACTAGGTTGGGTGCATTGGCTTAAGCCGGTAGGAGACTTGGACCTGCCTCGCATGGGCCTGTAGGCCTTCTGCAGTGTTCCTTCGTTCTTATGTTCTTATGTTCTTATGTTCTTTCTGGGATCACGAAGCGACCGAAATACTGGTTTGTTAATGAGTTGACTTCAGTTAAATGCAGCCTTTATTCCACTCTGTGTAGTCGCTAGGCTTTAAGTCTAATTAATTAACCAAACAAAAAAGAAAATTTTTCTATATTTCTAGAGTATATCTCCTGAAGTTCATTCACAGAGCAGCCGTGTATATATTCACTTGGAGGAGTGTATACCTCAGTATGTATAAACGTAGATCTTTAATCCCTGTAGCAGTTATTACAGTATCTAGTGATTTACAGATGATGTACAACCTTAATGATCCTCGTGTAATCGATATGATTCAAGCCTAACAGAGCAACCAAGCAGTATGGCTAGACTAAGGGGGTGCAGTGGGGAGCTGCCCTGTTAGTATTGATCGCTCTGTCTGGTAACTCACTGCCCCAATGACTGAGCACAACCGCTACATGAGAATTCTCGGAATCTTTAATATCTGTAGAATGGCCTTGTCCATTTTCAAGGAAGCTCATCACGAAGATATGTATACAATACATTTTTGTGTGGAAGCGCTATAGATATGAACCTGGGTAATGGGAGGCAATAGGGTTTGTTCCACTGAAGAGGTAATCACTAATTCCTTGGACCAGAATTAATACACTCCCTTTGAAGGTTAGCTTTTCAAGTGATTAGGGAGGACAACCCAAGCACGGAATCAAGCTGGAGAATTGAGGCGAACTAGTGACCAAAATTTTACATTCGCCGATTTCGAGTCTTGTCTGTCTCTCTCTGTCTCTCTCTGTCTCTGTCTGTCTCTCTGTCTCTGTCTCTGTCTCTGTCTCTCTCTCTCTCTGTCTCTCTCTCTCTCTCTCTCTCTCTGTCTCTCTCTCTGTCTCTCCTTCTCTGTCTCTCTCTCTCTGTTCTCTCTCTGTCTCTCTCTCTGTCTCTCTCTGTCTTCTCTCTGTCCTCTCTCTTTCTCTCTGTCTCCTCTCTCTCTCTCTCTTCCTCTCTCTCCCCTCTCTCCCCTCTCTCTCTCTCTCTCTCTCTCTCTCTCTCTCTCCCCTCTCTCTCTCTCTCTCTCTCTGCGCCAGGGTTCCATCTCATCGCTGATTTGTATCTTTTTCATGAACAAATTCTGTTAGATATAAGATTATTTCTGCTATTTATGAGATTTTTTTAACCACTGTCTCTCTCCAGTATTTTACACTTTGCTAGATCATCTGCGAGTGTGTTTGGTTGCAGTGAATTTTATCTTTGAAATGTTCGTCTACTTCATCTTGCTGTATTTTTTACATGATTCTTGTTAATATCACAGTGCTTGCCAATGTCATTCAAATTACATATTATACTAAAAGCATGTTTTGAACTCCACAGTATCCGTCACTGACTTTCAAGTATTCAAAAATATTCACTGGTGTAGTTATACTACTCATGAACCTGAACATCAAAATGGTATAAAATACCGACAGGTTGGTAGGTAAGACACGAAGGCAACAGTTAGGCAACTTTATTCCGAAACGTTTCGCCTACACAGTAGGCTTCTTCAGTCGAATACAGAAAGTAGGCAGGAACAGTAGAGATGTGAAGACGATGTAATCAGTCCATCACCCTTGAAGTCGTAGAATTTGAGGTTGTCAGTCCCTCAGCCTGGAGAGTTCAGTTCCATAGTCAGGACTATGGAACTGAACTCTCCAGGCTGAGGGACTGACAACCTCAAATTCTACGACTTCTAGGGTGATGGACTGATTACATCGTCTTCACATCTCTACTGTTCCTGCCTACTTTCTGTATTCGACTGAAGAAGCCTACTGTGTAGGCGAAACGTTTCGGAATAAAGTTGCCTAACTGTTGCCTTTGTGTCTTACCTACTCATGAACCTATTGTATTTTATGAGGGAAGCGCTAAACCAGTAGGAGTCAAATAACTCCTGTGGAATGGGAGGTAATCAGGTTTAAGGGTAGCTTCAGTACCTGTGTGTGTGTAATCTCGCCAATTTGTACTCGTCTATTTGTGGTTACAGGAGTCAATTCATAGCTCCTGGCCCCGTCCCTTCACTGACCACTACTAGGTCCTCTCCCTGCTCCATGAGCTTTATCATACCTCGTCTTAAAACTATGTATGGTTCCTGCCTCCACTACGTTACTTACGACACACACACACACACACACACACACACACGTGTGTGTATGTGTGTGTAATATTTAATATGTAAGTTTTGTAATTAGTTGCCAGGAAATGGATTATAGAATATAACTTTTAGATTCAGCCCAGATTTTGGCAAGTATGTGCCAGTTTAAGAGATAATAATTTTGACGTTGGTAAGTGTATTAGTGAGGTGTAGTAGCTAGGAAGTAAGTTTTCTTCTGTTTAAGTCCGTGAAGAACAAAAAGGCACAATACCGTGACTGGAAAAACACACAAATAACCCACACATGGGAAGAATCTTTCGACGTTTCAGTCCGACTAGGACCGTCATAAGTTTCTGGAGGGCGAAACGTTTACAAATAAAGATAGCCAGATGTTACACATGTATAATTCGTCAAGCAATCTGTAGGTTAGCTTGACTGGTAGAAATATACACACCCTGGCCTATATCTATTGTACGTTATTTAACAAGGCTCTAAACAGCAAAGAAACGCTGCCACAATAATGTTGATGTTGTCCTTGCTGTTGAACAGCGGGTTAGTGCCGAAGGGGTAGCGTAGGTTGCAGAGATACGGCCGTAGACTAGTTTGACTTTGACGAGGAGTGAGTACACAACGGGCAAAGTGAGGGGATGACCGGATAGCCAGTCCATGGAGTGAGGTTGTTGAACCAGTGAGGGTAGGCCATGGAGTGAGGTTGTTGAACCCGTGAGGGTAGGCCATGGAGTGAGGTTGTTGAACCCGTGAGGGTAGGCCATGGAGTGAGGTTGTTGAACCCGTGAGGGTAGGCCATGGAGTGAGGTTGTTGAACCCGTGAGGGTAGGCCATGGAGTGAGGTTGTTGAACCTATGAGGGTGGGCCATGGAGTGAGGTTGTTGAACCAGTGAGGGTAGGCCATGGAGTGAGGTTGTTGAACCTATGAGGGTGGGCCATGGAGTGAGGTTGTTGAACCAGTGAGGTAGCCATGGAGTGAGGTTGTTGAACCTATGAGGTGGCCATGGAGTGAGTTGTTGAACCCGTGAGGGTAGGCCATGGAGTGAGGTTGTTGAACCTATGAGGGTGGGCCATGGAGTGAGGTTGAACCAGTGAGGGTAGGCCATGGAGTGAGGTTGAACCTATGAGGGTGGGCCATGGAGTGAGGTTGAACCAGTGAGGGTGGGCCATGGAGTGAGGTTGTTGAACCAGTGAGGGTAGGCCATGGAGTGAGGTTGTTGAACCTATGAGGGTAGGCCATGGAGTGAGGTTGTTGAACCCGTGAGGGTAGTCCATGGAGTGAGGTTGTTGAACCCGTGAGGGTAGGCCATGGAATGAGGTTGTTAAACCAGTGAGGGTAGGCCATGGAGTGAGGTTGTTGAACCCGTGAGGGTAGTCCATGGAGTGAGGTTGTTGAACCCGTGAGGGTAGGCCATGGAATGAGGTTGTTGAACCCGTGAGGGTAGGCCATGGAGTGAGGTTGTTGAACCTATGAGGGTGGGCCATGGAGTGAGGTTGTTGAACCAGTGAGGGTAGGCCATGGAGTGAGGTTGTTGAGCCCGTGAGGGTAGGCCATGGAATGAGGTTGTTGAGCCCGTGAGGGTAGGTCATGAATGAGGTTGTTGAACCCATGAGGGTAGGCCATGGAGTGAGGTTCTTGAACCCGTGAGGGTAGGCCATGGAGTGAGGTTCTTGAACCAGTGAGGGTAGGCCATGGAGTGAGGTTGTTGAACCCGTGAGGGTAGGCCATGGAGTGAGGTTGTTGAACCCATGAGGGTAGGTCATGGATGAGGTTGTTGAACCCGTGAGGGTAGGCCATGGAGTGAGGTTGTTGAACCCGTGAGGGTAGGCCATGGAGTGAGGTTGTTGAACCCGTGAGGGTAGGCCATGGAGTGAGGTTGTTGAACCCGTGAGGGTAGGCCATGGAGTGAGGTTGTTGAAACCCGTGAGGGTAGGCCATGGAGTGAGGTTGTTGAACCCGTGAGGGTAGGCCATGGAGTGAGGTTGTTAAACCCGTGAGGGTATGCCATGGAGTGAGGTTGTTGAACCCGTGAGGGTAGGCCATGGAGTGAGACCGGGTAGGCTCCGTGTACATGCTTGGCAATTTCCCAGTGGAAATGAATACGGCCCCCAGTGGAAATAAGTCACTTTGACTTTTTTGGGTTATCCTTGGTTCTCTACACATATGCTGCTATGTATGATAATTCTATGTAACTGTATTTGTGTATACCTGAATAAACTTACTTACTTGCTAATCTTAGGCCAGAAGTATTTCATTTTCACTGGTTGTACTTGACCAGTTTGTTCGAAACTCTTGTTCCTTAGTGACAGTACCAGTCTTGTTGTGAATCTTTGGACCTTCTCATATCTTTTTTTTTTTTGTGTGTTTGACTAGGAGTAAGTGGAAACTATACTGATGTTGCCTGTTTTTTTTTTTTTTTTGATAAAATATGTGTGTATGTGTAAATGCATGTTTGTGTAGTCACTAAGTTTGTGCAAATATACTGATGTACAGTGTATATTTTACAGTACGGGGCTTTAAGGATTTTTCGTGTTTATATGCTCTTCTCATTGATCTTGTTACAGGAGCCTTCCTGATCCCTTACTGTATTATGTTATTCCTGTGTGGAGTGCCACTCATGTTCTTCGAGCTGTGTCTAGGCCAGTTTGGACGTGAGGGTCCCATCACAGTATGGAAAATCTGTCCCCTTTTCCAAGGTTAGTAGTTTATATTATTTATTTATTTATTTATTTATTTATATATATACGTATTTATGATAAACCAAATTTTATTTTAACCACTGCTGAATAGGTAGATTATGCAATTGTATTGGCATAACATAAAAAAAATGTGTTCTGTGTATTTGGCACAATTTTCAGTACCTGTGAAAGCACATCTGGGAAACTGGTCACTACTTTTTACTCTTAAGGCAAATTTTGAAATACCAAACAGGCACCATTTGTAAATAAAGTAGATATTTATGATTCTTTAAGTGCAGTTATTATTATTATTATTATTATTATTATGATGGCCTTCTGGTGGCCTGGTGGCTAACACTCTCGCTTCACATGGCGAGGGCCTGGGTTCGATTCCCAGCCCGAGTAGAAACATTGGGCGTGTTTCTTTCCACCTGTTGTCTATGTTCCCCATCAGTAAAATGGGTACCTAGGTGTTAGTCGACTGGTGTGGGTCGCATCCTGGGACACTGACCTAATTTGCCCGAAATGCTGAGCATAACAAGGGGATTTCTATGCAGTAGTATGTCATTGTTGTCAGCTAGGCCTGTATACCATGTACATGTACTTGTAGTAAATAAAGATATTATTATTATTATTATTATTATTATTATTATTATTTTATTATGATTATTTTATTTTATTTTTATTTTATTGTTTTATTATTTATTATTATTGTTAATTATTATTATCATTTCATTTTTTCAGGCATTGGTTATGCCATGTTCATGATCAGCTTCTACATTGGGTGTTATTATAATGTTGTGTTATCCTGGGCTATCTACTACATCTACTCATCATTCACACACACCTTGCCATGGACATCATGTGGGGATGGTTGGAGCTCAGAATGTAAGTGACAAGCCCTGCTGCCTTTCTTGCACCTTATTAAATGGTCGTAATTTATGCTTACTAAATTAAGTACTTACTTTACTTCATGTTAATTATTTGCCTTATATTTGAGCTGCAATATATTGGTTGACTTATGAGTTTATATCATTAATTATGCAGCAGTTTTTTTTATATCAGTATTTCCCATGGTTGTCTCCATATACAGTCTGTAGAGAATTCAGCTCCAGGAATTGTACCCTGAGTGGTGGACTCATGAACCTGACTGGGACCTGTATCTATCCAAACATGACCACTGAAGAAGAATGGAATATACTCAACAAATCCATAAGCTCTCTTAAGAGTCCTGCTGATGAGTTCTTCCAGTAAGAATGTTATTTATTGTTTTAAGGTGAAAATTGTATAGCAGTGATTAGTCTGTGTGTTAATTATTTTAATAAGTTCACTTTCTGACTTGAAAATGAAGTTAAAAAAATGCAGTACTACCAAAAACAGTACTAAAATTTATTCCTTATAGTTATAAATTTGTGACTCGGAAAAAGCAAATTGGGATTGTTTCAGACTTGTATATATTTTTCCCATAATGTAGCCTATATCTTGCACAACAAACCATGTAGTGTATGTACTTGATGGCAAAATGAATGTTTGACTCACTGAAATGCTTAATGACAGCATACCTTCATAGTTCACTGATAGTTTATCAAATACAGTGGACCCCCAGTTTACGATATTATTTCAGTCCAGAAGTATGTTCAGGTGCCAGTACTGACCGAATTTGTTCCCATAAGGAATATTGTGAATTAGATTAGTCCATTTCAGACTCCCAAACATACACATACAAACGCACTTTCTTAAATACACTTACATAATTGGTCGCATTGGGAGCTGATCGTAAACCGGGGGTCCACTGTACTTACGCAATAAAATGTCAAACATAGTATATGCATAATTTTAAAGCTACAACATTGATCAATGCATCTTCCTTTCTGTACCTCACAGTAATCATGTCCTAGATATCACTGGAGGCATTCACGACATGGGAGGTTTCCAAGGAAAAATTGTTGTTGCTTTACTTGTTGCCTGGATCATTGTTTATTTGGTGCTCATCAAGGGAGTCGAAACTTTTGGCAAGGTAAGAGATGACACTTGCTGTTTGCTTTAGTGGATACTGTGTCATCATCACTCATAAGAAAGGCTAGTTATAATATTATGCTTAGGTCAGATAATGAAAGACCTTAATATTAGACATCACATGGTTTGCATGTATGATAATATATGCATGCTGGCCACAGCAAAATGCTAAATATATTACAGATTGGTTTCATATCAGTAAATTAATGTTTACAGGAAGGCCTTGTTTATACAGCAGTTTAGATTTTGGGCTGCTGGTGTAAAGCAAAAATTGCTGTAAAGTGAGTCTTTTTTTTCATTTTCAAATGCTTGTAAAAGCCTGATAACATGTTTACACTGTCATATTAAGTGAGCAATGTAGCTAAACCTAGAAAATGCATATAGAGAACTTATCTTAAAATATTTTTCATCCTTAGCTTGTGGTGAATATATTTATTGTAGGAAGTCTGAATAAATGAGGAATGGGTGTAATTGAAAACTGCCATATTAGTGAAACACTGTAAAGCGGAGCCCACCTGTAGGAAAGATCTTAACAATATTAGACATCAATTGGTTTGCAGGTATTATCATATATGCATGCTGCCCACAGCAAAATGCAAAATATATCAGATTGGTTTCATATCAGTATCTACATGCCTCTGGCAAGACAGTGATAGTGTGACTGGTGGTGAAAAGTGTTTATTTGTTGGGTCACCTTGCCTTGGTGGGAGACAGCTAGTGTTTAAAAAATACTTCTTAAGCTACTTTAATAATCAGTGAAATAGCACAAGAATGAGATGGTTGGGAAGGTTGCATTTACTTTGATTTCAAATGAACTTTTGAGAGTATCATACCTAATAAGACTAATGTGGAAACTACAAATGTAGGTGGAATAAAAAACAAGCAATGACAATGGACGATATCTTTTATTTGAAAGAAAATTTCTATCTGGGGAAAAGGTACTAGTAGGGTCCAGTAAGGATCAGTGTAAGTTGACAAGTGCCTCCTTTTTTTCAAAAGGGAAAATTAGACCAGATCTAATAATAGAGTTTGATACAATATATACACTGGTTGATTTATGTTAAGTCAGTTAGGGGCCAGGAGCTAGAGCTCCATCCCAACAAACAAGTGATTACACTTGTATGCACATATACCTCATACACCAAATTTTTATCCTATTTTAAATGTGTGTGTGTTTTTCAAATAGCCGAAGTTCAAAATAATGATTAAGACTTGTATATTTCCAGGCTGTGTACTTCACTGCAACCTTCCCGTACCTCATCCTAATTGTTCTCCTGATAAGAGCTGCTACTCTACCAGGCTACATTGATGGTATAGCTTTTTATCTGACTCCCAAATGGGAAATGCTCTCTCAAGCAAGTGTAAGTATATATCTCATAAAAGATGTTGATGCTTACCCAGTACTTCTTAGGGTATTGAACTCATTTTTCACACAAACTATCACCCCTGTCAAGTCTTGTCTTTCTCTGTGAATGTTTGAAAACCACCCAGCAGCAACAACAACACTTGGGTGAATTTGGAGAGTTGTATGTACCTTGACCTTGTCTTGACTCATGAAATCGTAATGACGCACTGGCCTGAAGTTACAACTCGCTCACCACGAGTTCAATCCCCATCCATGGTATGGTTTGACTTTGTCTTTGCCCAGAGTCAGGCACAATTCTGGACATCAGCTGTTATCTTTAAGAAGTTCCATCGTACTACTCGTGATTCTCTTTCTTAGTTGATACTGACTGCTCTTCAATTTCATCTCTGTCCTCTATCTCTCCTACTTTCTTTCCAGACCTTTCCTTTCCCTCTCAAACCTAGTAAATGGATTCATCAAACTTTGTCCTTGCTGGCGAACATTTTGCAATCCACCAGGTCATTCCATTTTCTTCCACAACCGATCATATTCTTTACTATCTTCTTTGGTTCCCCTTATCCTCTCCTAGCCCCGTCTCTCTTCACCTTTTGGTCAGCAGAACGCAGCTCCTCACATCTTTCCTTTGGTTGGAACATTAATCAGTTAGCGAACCTTCCTACTCCCTCCTAGCCTCCTCATCCTCTTGACTAGAGGGAGTTTGCATCAGGAATATGAGGGAAGATCCATCAGCAAGGACATGGTAACCTTGGCATCACAGTTTTCTCCTCGGAGTTGGATTTCATCTGGTCCTTTGAGGGCCCTTGTCCTTGGGTGGGGCACCACTCCTGAGCACTCAGTGTGGCCCTTCCCTGGTTTCAGTTTGCTCACACACATCTCCGAAAGTCTCTTTACAGACTGATCTTGTCCATTGTGAGATTCTGTCCCTCACTTGTGCGGGTGTCCTGTAACTTGATCCTTAGTGCACTTGCCTCACACACTGAGGTCGGAGTTTAAATCTCTGGTATGGCTGGAAAACATTATGGACGTGTTTCCATAAGACACCTGCTGTCCTTGTTCACCCATCAGTATAAAATGGGTACCTGGGTGTTAGTTGCCTGGTGTGGGTCACATCCTGGGACAAAACTGACCTAATTTGCCCGAAATGCTCAGCATAACTAGTGGCTTTCTGTATAGTAGTATGTCATTGATGTCAGCTAGGCCTTTATACCTTGTACATGTACTTGTAGAAATAGATATTATCATTGTTATTATTATTATGCCTTCCCCAAATATTCAGGATGAGTCAGCAAGTATTGCCTTCCACTTCTTACCTGCAACATCTCTGACCAGGGTCCTCTGGACTCCTATTCCATTTTCTGTAGGAACTACCACGTCTCCTATTATCCTCCTGTGATTGATAGCTGCTCTACCTGAGCGGCTAGTTTATTGTGCACTTCATGCTTATCTTCTGAATGGTAATACAATAAAAAAAGGATTACAGAGGTCACAGTGGGTCTTCACTAGATTCCACCAGGCATAGTTGCATCACAAAAAAATGTCACCTTATGTGTATTACATTTTATGCATGTAGCTCATGAACACAATACAATGTGGAGTTACAATCTCAAAAAAAAAAAATTAAATATATTATTAGCATGAAAACAGTCATTATTGGGTGCAGTCTCTTCAGCAACAATCCATTCATCTAGTCAATGCAAAATGTGGATACAGTTTCAAGATTTCAGATATCTTATCATTAACAATAATGTTTTGCCATATCCTAGGATATACATGGAGTTGTGTCTGAAAAGTTGGATGTTTGGACACTGTTAAGAAAGTGTTCCAGTGTATGTCCTTGTCTCTGTCCACAAACTACATTTGTTGGCATTGTTTACAGATTGTACTGCCAGAAATACTTATAGCCTAGCCTTAATCTAACAGTAACATCATTTTGTAATCTACTAAGCTTGTTACTTTCTCTGTAAATATGCTTAGTTTGTCATATTTCATTATGATGATCGGTAGGTGTCTCTTGACTCTGTTGGCATTGCACTCGCCTCGCACACCGAGTGTCCATGG